TTGGCCAGGGTGGTCTCGAACTCCTGACCTCATGATCCACCCGCCTCAGCCTCCCAAAGTGGTGGGTGTGAGCCACCGTGCCCGGCCAACATTCTTTTTATGTAGCCTCTACCTGAGTTTTAAGCTTTCAAAAATTTTATACTGTGCTTTAAGTGGTTTTATACTTTTAGTATCACAGAGCAGTAGCAGCATTCAATTTTCTTTAGCAAAATAAATTCACCCTAGGATGTGTAACTAACGACCTCTCATTTAGTAATAAACAAACAGTTATTTCAAACATATTTCTGGTGAAATCAATTCAGAATTATATGGCTTCATATTCACAAAATTTTTACTTTTAGCAAATAATTGAGGACATGTGCATCTCTAGAACCATAAATGAAAATTAAAAGTCATGCCTTGCATAACATAAGGACCTTTTTGAAATTTCCTACATTTTCTTACTTGAATCACTTGCAAAAGTTTAGATACCATGAGCAAAGATGATTAATACACAGGTTTCAAAATTTTGAAAGTTAATTATATTTTAACATAAATTTAAATGAAAAAAGTGGCAGAACTTCTGAGACTCATACAGTAGTCATACTCGTAAAATTCTGGTGTAACAAATATAATAGACTGCAAATGAATTGCTGCTGAGGTTATCCCATATTGCCAATAATACAGACTTTAATAAAAAGGTGTATCTCTTATGCCTAAATTTAGTCAGCTGCTGATTAAATTTTACATAATTCAACACGAACTATAAAATCAGAAGTCATTAAGATACTGGCAGGGAGAACAAGAATGTTATTTACCGTTTAACATTAATGACAGTCATGAATTCATACTTCAAAAGTTGAATATGGCCTATCTAAAAGCTTAAAGAGAAACCCTTTATCTCCCTGGTTTTGATGCATGAGTTTATAGAACCATATACATTAACTTACCACATAAATCCCACCATGCTGGCCATCATGAATTTTGTTATGCCGAACAATTGGACAACTGTTTGTCCTAATTTGTATTCCTGCTAATGCATTGCCTATTTAAAAATAAAAGTTACAATGTCAACATTTGTGAGCCTGGGGAATACAGTAAGGGTTTTACATTAGGTAGTGGTTAAAATTCTTACACTAGAATTTTAGTGACCATTACAAGACAATATTAAGAGAACTAGTAGTGTAAATAATGCAGAGAGCTGCAGGCAGTATAGCATAGTGGAGACTCTGGAGCCGAGCTGACACATTTCGAATCTCAGGAATTCTACTTCCTGTGTGATCCTGAATAAGTAATTTAACCTCTTTGTGCCTCTGTATACTGATCAGTAAGCATCTTTGTGCCTCTGTATCCTGATCAATATTTAATGGTATCTACCTCACAGTGTTGATGTGAATATATGAGTTAACTCAGTTTAAGATGCACAGCAGAGCGCCTGACACTTAGTAAAGCTTTATGTAAATATTAACCAGGTTAGTGTTACCAGAAGCGAAAGCCCAGGCACATATTGGTGTCAGACATACAGATATCTACTGATTGTTTGCTGATTTAATGTTCCTAAAACTTTAAAGAGGAATACACATTTTCTTTCTTTAATTAGTACAAAGTATATTAAACTACCACAGAAATAATTTATTAACTATTAAACAACAGAGTGAAACTATGGAAACTGCAGATACACCTTGGGACTAAGGTCTAATTTATATTTTCATCCCTGGTATCTGGCATAGTGCCTGTGAATAAATATCACGGAATAATCTTTATTAAGAATTTAGGCTGGGCGTGGTGGCTTATACCTGTAATCCCAGCAATCTGGGAGGCTGACGCTGAAACAGGCAGATCACTTGAGGCCAGGAGTTCGAGACCAGCCTGGTCAACATGGCAAAACCCATCTCTATTAAAAAGGCAAAATTGAGCCGGGCATGGTAGTATGCACCTGTAATCCCAGCTACTCTAGAGGCTGAGGCATGACAATCGCTTGAACTTGGGAGGCAGAGGTTGCCGTGAGCCAAGATTGCATCGCTGCACTCCAGCCTAGGCAACAGAGTGAGATTCTGTCTCAACAACAACAACAACAACGACATAAATAAATAAATAAATGGCAGTGCATGAGACTCACACCTGCAATCCCAGAATTTTGGGAGACCAAGGTGGGAAGATCACCTGAGGCTGGGAGTTCAAGACTAGCCCAGGCAACATGGCAAGACCCGGCCTCCACAAATAAATGAGTGGGGCATGGTAGCACATGCCTATAGTCCTAGCTACCAGGGAGGCTGAGGCAGGAGGGTTGCTTTCAGCCCAGAAGTCTGAGGCTGCTGTGAGCCATGTTTGTGCTACTGTGCTCCAGTCTGCACAAGAGAGTAAGACCTCATCTCTTTTAAAAAAAAAAAAAAATTAAAGAAGCTAGATCAGTGCTTCCACTTGGGTAGTTTCAAAATGTTCCATCATTTTG